CAAATGTGAGTACAATGAATTACATACAAATACTTTTTATGAAGGAGTAACATACATTTCCTTTGAGTGGTAATTTATTAGTACACACATAAAAACTATTGCTCACTTCACTTTTGGTTTTACGCCTTTAGCTGTACTTTCTCCTCCACACCAAGTTTTATATAACTTTTGTTACACTTTTTTAACCCCTCTGCGTAGCATTTCTTGCATTTTTCATACAAGTATCTGAAAGTATCTGAAAGCAACTGAAAGCAACTGGAAACAACTGAAAGCAATAGTAGACAGACAACTTAAATAATATGGCCAATTTAAAATGTTTTCTGTCAACATCATCATCAGCATTTATACGACTATCAACATCAACATCAACATGTACGTCATTATGAGCAAAATTATTGCCAACGTAATGAAGATTACTGGCAAAGTTGCTATTCATACTTCTCTGTTCTTGTGGTCGTTGTCTTATGCGAACAATACCAGAACTTTACCAGATATCAATGAGAACAATATGGCCATTCACTACAAATACAACTATTAATATAGTATTTTATTGCACGTGTACGCACAATAGAATTTTACTAGTGTCCTTTTGTTGCAAAATACTTACACCACCCAACATCGACTCCATCACAATGGTTCCTTCACTTGGTATGGAACATTTCACAGCATTGTACGCTTGGGGCAATTGAAATGTTAAAACACATGCCAATAAAATCTTTTATTTCATTAGCTTTGTAGTATAATTTCTTGTTGAGTCTGCACTCTGCACACTCACTCTACATACTGTATACATATGCGTATATTTGCGAAGGGCTCCCTATCTCAGAGTGCAATTGTTATGAAGACCTATTCGAATTTCTTTGATAGATACCCATACATTTCGAAAAAAAAAATCTTTATTTCACTTTGGACAAGTGGTAATACAGTAAAGTTACTGTATTAGTCACGTTCATGGTTCGTCTTCTATGCTAATATGATTAGCTATAGATTTTATTAACACTCTACACTCCACTCTCTATAGTTTATAGTTGCATTTCATTTCATTAGATATGGTAATATGGGATATATTATTTGTCAATTAGTTTTGTTTTATTGGAAGATATATGTAGATTTCTTAACTAATTTACTTTGACAACTGCGAGTATCTTAAGATACTATTCGCATAGTCAATGCTATGAGATTAAATTACGTTTGATAAAAATTACCCTTAAGTTTATGTGAATATAAGAAAATCCTTATTTATACAATATTTAAAGCAGATATTGTATATAGTTTGCTATTTTGAAAAAGTTTACCTATAGTAGCAAAATAAATACCGGTTATCGTGAAAATATTAGATGCAGATTTAGATAAAAGTTGGATTTTTGGATATTTGTATTTAAAGGTGTTATATTTTAAGGTGAATGAGTTGTGTATTCCCTAGATGACCTAGACCTAGATCCTCAAAAAGAAAAGCCTCTATTCTTAACACGAGATCATAACAACTGTTACTTATAGAATCACTTTTAAGTCCTTATTATAAGTCCTTATTTAAATTCTTATAAAGTTAAGCATATATTGAATTTAAGTACTGGACACTGACAAATGAGCAGGTGAGATAAGTCCCTCAATATTATTAAAATAGGTCGTAAGTCTATGTAATTTCCTACTGCCTTTTTATGACATGAACTGCACTATTAACATCAATAATCAAATATATGTTTTATTATTTATAAATTCTATTTTGTACAATATAGTTTTTTGCCAAAATATATATAATATTTTCTTCTTAATTAATATTGTTGCTTATATCATAATTCATTTTAATTAATATTAATTAATACAATTTTATTTCATTTCTTTCAGGTAATTTTCCGAATATATCAACACAATTGTTAAATATAATTTTGCACATAAATTGGGTAAGCAAGCAATATAAACTTTAAAATCAATAAAAAAAATTCAACACAACGAAATGATTTTCAGTTATATAATACACACTTATATACAGGGTGTTTCTCAATAAAGTGCTTCAACTTATAAAGGTGATACATTAGACTAAGAAACAAATATGAATATGAGATAAATCCCGACCTTTTTAATATTTATTAAAATATTAATTCAAAATGTCACAAACATATCTCATGTGGCAGTGCTTAACTCTAGCTAGGAGAAGATTTATAACCTTCGGGGCCACTTAGTGACAGCCAAATTTTTAGAACTGTCAGGTTGGTTCACCATTACCTAATAGGGGAGTCGTTGTCTTTCGGCGTTGGTCGTATAATGATCATTTAGTCTATGTACAAACCCACGTTATTTCTTTGGTACCACAGCGGGCCATTATTTAAGCTCAAGTGGGCTTTAGTGGTTACAAGGCCGCCGTCACTCCAACCTAACCGAAACTAATTCAAAATAATGGGATGTCACTCAATTAATAAAGTATCAAAAAGTCGTTTTTCTGCAAAAGATAGTTAAAGCAAATGACTCTCAATAGCTTATTTATTTTCAATATTTATTAAAATATTTATTCAATATGGTAGGATAGTAAGATACAGGGCGTCAAAAAGTCGTAAACGATACTTCAAGCAAATAACTCGCAATATCTTAATAATTTTCGTTATTTATTGATATATTAATAGAGAGATTTTAAAAAGTAGTGAACTACAACAACAAAAATTATTTTCATATTATTTCAAATGAAGTTTTGACTGACCATACAGCTGTTTCGATAAAAAATAAAATAAATAATTTTTTGAGACTGCAAATACCAAGAATCGAACTCATGCTCTGCCAAATTTGGAACTCAGAGTCAGCGCTTCTTAACCATCCTGACTTTTATGTTCGCGCTTTTTTTCTGGTGTTTTGTTAATTTGCTGTGAAAGTTTTATTATTAAATTCACTTCCTGTGTTTATATTAGTACGAAATCATAAACCAGCTGTAGAATAATTGAATTTTTTAATTATATTTTTATTTTTTAATTGTTAAATTTCATTACTATTCCATTTGTAGAGCCATTATTTGTCGCATGCTTTCTTATTACTCTTTCTTGTGTATACTGATCTGATCACCTAATACGTTAATAAATAATTGATATATTAATTCTATAAGATTGAGTACGTGGAGTCAAAGAGTCATATCTCTGAAAAAGATACTTTAATCAATTATATCTCAATGTCTTAATCATTTTCAATATTTATTCAATATGGTGGGATACAGTGTGTCTAGAAAACATATATCTAAAAAATATACTCAGATCAAATATCTTGCAATATCCTATTAATTTTCATTACTTAGCGATATGTTAATTCAATATGGTGGAGTACGGGGAATCGAAGAGTCGTATCTCTGAAAAAGATGCTTAGATCAAATATGTCTTATTGTATTTATTATTTTCATTATATTTCGTTATATATAATAATGAAATAATTTTCATTATTTATTGGTATATTAATTCAATATGGTGGAGTACGGGGAATCGAAGAGCCGTATCTCTGAAAAAGGTGCTTAGATCAAATATCTTCCATTGTTTTTATTATTTTCATTATTTTTCATTATAAATAATAATGAAATAATTTTCATTATTTATTGGTATATTAATTCAATAAGCTGGGATACAGGGTGTCAAGGAGTCGTATCTTTGAAAAATATACTTTAATCAAATAACTCACAATATCTTAAAAATTATTTTACCAGATATATTCAATTTTATATCAATTTGTAGTGCATTTATGGTCCCTGTATTTATTTGTATAATATATCTACAATAATGAATGCCTATGAGAATTCAGTTGGTATAATTTAAATCGACTAACAAAAAATGATGCACTGCGATTGTAAGTAAAACTTTTGCGGCCACATTTCCCACATATGCCGCATCGTTCAGTGAATGCCAAGTGTTTATATTGTAAAATATGAAATACTAAAATTGAATTAAATTGAGTGCGAAAACTTTGTAAACGTTTCAATGATTTCAACTGAAATTGCAAAAAAAAAAATTTAAATAAAAATAATAAGTATGAAAAAAAAATAGAACAAAAAATATTGTTAAAAAATTGAAAAATACTAGAAAACTATTTTCATTTTCATGGTGAGATGCACTAAGCGCAACAAATTAATTTCTTGTGAAAAATATATAACACATGCAATGCAACAGACCAACAACAACCACAACCACAACTTAAACACTAATAAGCAACAACACTAAATACTAAATACTAAACACTAAACACTGACAAAATACATACAACAGTAGCGCGGATGCATTTCGAATGCAATTTCAATTGCAATTGCAGTATTTTTTATAATAATCGGCAGCAGCAACGCATTGCAATTGCAACTGCACTTGGCTTTCGAGCTTGCATTGTTTTTGTTTTTTTCTTTTTTTTCAAAATTTCTGAACAATTTTTTTCGACTTGCATTTCATTTAGTTTTTTTTCTTCAGTTTGATTTTTTTCCATTTTGTATCTGAATATGAATAAGTAGTCATATGCAGTCATATGTGCTTGCATGCTTAGTTATTGTTTAAAAATGTGCAGTATTTATATATGCAAATTTGTTGCTGAAATAATAATGTTGTTGTCTGCAGTTATGCGATAAGTCCGATTCGATGCGCTAAAATGTCTGGTGCTATTTAATGAATTCAATGCGATTTGGTTTGGCATGCTCACGTGCTCGCACGACTATCTGCGAATGCACAGGTGTATCTATGAAATTTTATGTGTTTGCATGCGTATTTACCGTTCATACAAATGTGTACTTGCAATGACACCATATTTTAACAAGTGCAACTGTAATGCCAACAATTGCAACTACTACAACAGCAATAACAACGAGCAATAACAATGAGCAATAACAGCGAGAATGGCAATGAGTATAAGCACGAGAACGAGAACGAGAATGACATTAGCAACAACCGTAACAACCGTAGCGGCAATAGCAACAACAACAACAGCAACAACAGCAACAACAGCAGCAGCAGCAGCTTTAACACATAAATCACGTATTTACTTAGCTAAGTTACCGTGCTGCAGTTTTTGACACGTTGGCATATCGACATTATCGCAAACACGTACAAAATTTGTTGCAACAGTAATTGTTGCACCATTTCGTGATGAAAATTTTTTCATAGCAATGTTCTCTTTTTCTTTTATTTTTTCGGTGCTTCTAGTAACTGCAACATTCTAACAAGCTTTTCCTTAGTCATGAAGTTTTTGATTTACATTTTCGGCATGAAAAATGGATTATTTATTAAAGTTCGGTAAGACGAACGTCAGCAACAACAATTTCATGATTTATGAATACAAAAATGTTGTGCGTTAATATATTTCTAAATGAACTCAAAACATAGTCATAACCGCCAAGCCATACTGACTGACAACTGCAACACATAAACCTCTCTAACATTGACTTAATGTTATGGATTTTGACAAAAATGTAGCAATATGTGCCATTTTTCATACAAAAACCATACAAAATGCACACAAAAATGGACAACTTCTTTGCTTACGACTTTTGCTGAATTGGAGTTTAATCATATACGAAGTCTCCTTTAAGAGTAATATAGTCATTTTAATGCTTCACTAATATTTCGATACCCCTCTTGAAAAATGAGCCAAAATTTTAACTTTAAACACGAAATATAGCTTAGTCTGTGAACAAGTAGTATGGCTGTTCGCCATGTCTTCCGAATACAGTGGGTGTGAAAGCAATTCGAACGTAATAGATAGAATGATAAACAACGACTTTATGACCTAGCGCATTGTCTTGGCGAAAGAAGACTTTTTTCTTCATATAAAATGTTAATTTCACTATTTCTTCTTTCAGGGGCACTAGTTGGGTTATGTAGTAATCGCTAATTATAGTCTGTACTTTTTTTTAAGTAATCCATAAACAAAATCCTAAAATACATAGGTTCCTAAAAAAACGTACACCAAATCTTGCCATCGTTTTTGTTGCGATTTTTGGCTGCTTTTGGTAAGATTCTCTGGCTGTGAAATAAAAACTAATTTTCGAACCTTAAAATTAAGGCGGCACAGTCTTAAACCGCCAGCAGCAAAGAATGAACCTGTGTACCCGGTCTGATGCCTTTACTTATGAATATTATATTTACCCCTTCTGGATGCCTTCACATATCTTGATATATCCAGGTAGGCTGATTGGAGTAATTCTTAAAACAAGACTTGCATTTTGTATTTATTGTCTTTAAAAAAGTAAGGGATCGGATATTATGTTAGGGCTGATGATCGTCGTATATATTTTGTTATCGTCCTAATATGTACAATATGTTTCGTAGACTATGTAGACTTTATATGCTGGGAACCTTCATCATTATCTAAAAATTATTTAAAGTTTTAGTTAGTAATTATTCTCTTAATAGATCTATTCTCATCATTTTTTCACTTAGTAAATGAAAAGAAGTTTTTTTTAATATATATAAAATTCTATATATTATAATTTATTCACAAGTACAAGGAGCAGCAGTCAAGAAACACAAATGGCAATGACTTGAACATTACCTTCAAAATTGACTTTCAAAAGTGCTAGATAAGCTCTTAAATAATATCAAAAGAAGCCCTGAGGGTAGAAACCTTCGAGTAGCGTCATCTAAAATATAGGGAAGAATCAAAAACAAATATCAATCATGCCGTTTTAAGTCGTGTAGAATTAAAGGAAGTTATTCGGATTTCTACGCTAAATTAATGGTATATAGAGAAAAAGTTTTTACTGTTACTACTAAAATATAAAACGATTGATTGTATTTGACATATGAGTGAATAATTCAAATTTTAGTTTGTAGTTTGAATTTAACTTTTTCCTAAAATATTTGTAAAGTGCTTGTATATAGCATAGTAAGGATAGACTAGCTGCACTATTTTTGTTTTATTCTATGAAAGAATATATAAATGCGCAGTTCATTGCTAGACTAGTAATCAATACAATTTTAATATAATATTAAATTAGCAGGTAGCTATTGAAATATGATTATATGATATGATTATTTTTGGATAAGTATATATAGCATATTTGCAGTTTTTATGAAATCGCTGTTGCTTAATAAAACTTCCTATAAAATGGTAATGGATTTTAAACTTTTTTTCTCCATTTTTTATTCTATGATTTTGAACCTCACCCCAAAAGCGTAACTATAAACTTTCAATACACCAAAATTTTTAGAAACTAATTATTTTGCATTGCTTAATAGAAAGTCTCAAGCACGGTTGCCGCTTGAAAATTTTTTTCTGTACCAAAATTGGTTTAAAAAGGTACCATTTCTGTAAAAAAAGGTCCAAAAATTTTTTGGACCTTTTTGTTTTTTTGTTCTGTGTTTTTCATAGTGTTATAAATGAACAAAATATAAAATAGTGCAAAGTTGCATTTATAAAAAAAATTAATTGGAAATATCCACAATAAAGTTGGGTCGTCAAAAATGTACCATTTTTTGAGCATGAGTACCAAACGAAAAAAAAAGTACCAATTTTGGTACTAAAGTACCATAAGTGGCAACCGTGAGTACAATATTTTTCTTTTACTCAGACTCTCTGAGATTTTTAATATTTTTAATCCTCTTACTACTTCAAAATTCTAATTAAAAATCAAGTAAGAAAATTTATTTTATTTCTTAAAATCCCAGAACTTTTTTAGTTATCCAAGCGCTTATCCAAAGCTATTCCTTACCAAAGATGTTAAGTACAATGACTTTGCTCTCGTAAAGTTAAAGTCTTTAAACTAAAAGTTTATTAGGGTTCTTCCACTAAAATATTTTTATGTATTCATTTATACTTTTTCATTTTATTTTATTTTTCTTTAAATTCCTTTATTGAATTTCTTAACAGAATTTTTAATTCTGCTTCGCACTATCATCTTCTTCCTTGAAACTACACGGTCTCTTATATATTCCAACTTCATCACTTCATTGTGTGCGCTGTGCTTACTTAAGCACTGACACACAATAGCTTTTGTTGTTGCTATTGCTGTTCTTATTTCTATATCCGGCTTTAATATGCTTCCGTTTCCGTTCTTAAACCGTATAGTGTACAATTTTTTTTACACTTCGTGTGTTTGTTGGTTAAACTTTTATTTAAACTTTTGCTTCCAGCCATTTCGCTTTTGTTATTGTAGCCATCTTAACTGGGTTGAGTTGAGAAGTACATTAAGTCTATTCCACACTCACTCTCTTTCTCTCAATCTCAATCTCACTCTCTCCAAAATTGTATATTTCTCTCTTATTAACACTTTATTAGTCGTGCTCTCGCTCTCTCTCTCTCTTTTTCTCTCTCTCTCTCACACTTCCATTCTTCTCCCACTTATATCCCATCAAATTTATGATTTGCGTCCTATTGTTGCTATTGTTGTTACCAGAAGTGCAAATGAAATTATTCTTTGGTACAACGTGGAAAGCGTACAAAAAAGGCAAAAAATAATTAGAAATAAAAAAGTAATTGAATAGTTTTACTCTATGGTTTTTCATTTCATTTTTAGTTATCCTTTTATCCTGTTTTTGTTGCCAACGTAAAAGTTTTTACCCTACAAACGCAAAGTTAATAATAATTTCCTGTCGTAAACTGGGTGCTCATGTTAGTTCCCTGGCATGGCTGTTACTGTTGTTGGCACTTAAGTTGCCGTTACAGTTGTTATTGTTGTTATGATTGTTGTTGTTGTTGTTGTTGCCATTGCTGTTGCTGTTCCTGCTGCTGCTGCTGCTGCTGTTAGTGTTGATAGCACTTTCGTGTACCTCGAGTACGTGTTGCAGCAAAGTTTTTACTGTGTACTCGAGTAGAACTAAGGTTCAGTAATTGAAGAAAATTAAGTTTTATCGTTGCACAATGTTGGTGAAATGGTGTTGCAAAAGCACGTATTCAGTGAAGTTATTTTTGGAGATTTATTTTTTTATTTTCTACAATTTTATTGTTAAAATGTATTATTAATTGATTTTAACAAAA